AGAGTACGTGTCACAGTGGAAATGAAAAATCAAGTAAAACATTTAAATACATATTAATAATACACTATATATACTTATTACAAAAATATATATTTTATTTATTTATTTTTATTAAAATCACTAGCTCAATTACATACAAATAGTATTTCATTAGTGCATGTATAGAAATATTTCATTTAAAAATTTGAGACCACAGTGATCACTTGGTTTAGTAGTGTACAGTATTCACTAGAGGAGAAATTGTTACTTTGTAAATATCATTATAATTTAAAATAAATTATTATTACATTATATCATAGATGTTTCTACATTATTTACATACATCTTGTAGCATACGTTGCTTCAGAAGTATCCCGTTTTTCCTCCTAGTTTGAAGCAGACGGTACCTTTGACTTAATCTATTTAAAATATAGTTTGTACAGTTGTTTTAATTAAAATCACTTGCTCAACTACATACAAATAATATTACATTAGTGTATTTATAGAAATATTTCACATTTAACAACTTGAGACATCAAAGTGATCACTTGGTTTCACTACAGTATTCCAGTACTAGAGGAGAAATTGTTACTTAATAAATATCACTATAATTTTAAATAAATAATTATCACACTAAATCAAAAATGCTTATAGACTATTTACATGTCTTGTAGCATATTTTGCTTCAGACGTATTTCCTTTTTTCCTCAAGTTTGAAGCAGATAGCACCATTGATTTAATCTCTTTAAAAGGTAGTTGTACTGATAGTTTAAACTGTAAGAATTATCTTTTAAAGGAATGGAAAAATACATTTTTTTTGTTATTCATAATTTAAGCAATATTTCTTTCCGTGTGTATACAATTTTATAAAACAGTAGTATGGAGTAATAGAGGAAAATGAAATAAAAAGTTTTAAGTAAAATATTTATGAGAACAATTGTTTTTGTGAGAGAATATTACGGAAAAAACCCATTTATAAGTATGTAAAGTTTATAAGTCTATAAGTATGTACGAAAACAATTTTATAATAGAAAAATTCTCCAACTATTATGCATAGTTTAGAGACCATTGCCTTTTTTCCTTCCAGTTTAAAGCAGACATCACCTTTGACTTAACCTCTTTATAATATCGTTTTTACAGTTTTTTAAAATTAAAGTCCCTAGATCAACTACATAAACTACATACAAAGAGTACATTAGTGCATGTATAGAAATATTTCACATTTAACAACTTGAGACATCAGATTGGCTACTTGGTTTTATCACAGTATCCACTATAAAATTAAAGTCACTAGCTCAACTACATAAACTAAATACAAAGAGTACATTAGTGCATGTATAGAAATATTTCACATTTAACAACTTGAGACATCAGATTGGCTACTTGGTTTTATCACAGTATCCACTATAAGAGAAATTGTTTCTTAATAAGTGTCATTATAATTTAAAATAAATTATCACAATATATCAAAAATGTATTTGTATGTATGTACACTATTTACATATGTCTTATAGCATGCTTCAGATGTATGCCTTTTTTCCTCATTGTTTGAAGCAGACAGTACCTTGGACTCTTTTTAACAGATAGTTCGTACTCATGGTTTAAACTGTAAGAACAATCTTTTAAAGGAATGGAAAAAATATGTATTGTTTTTTTGTTTTCATAAACAATTCTTTCTGTGTTTATACAATTTTTTAAAGTAGTAAGGAGTAATGTAGGAAAATGAAATAAAAAGTTCTAAAATATTTATGAGAATATTTTTTTTACGAGGGTATATTACGAAAAAAGCCGATTTATAAGTAAGTAAAGTTTGTCTATAAGTAAGTATGAACCAAAACAATTTTTCTCCAAACTATACGTCACAGTTTAAAGAGACCGTCGGCCCTGTTCGGTAGGTCGGACCTTTGTCTAGACCGTAGGTAAAATCTCCACTAGTCTGTGTTGAACAATGATCAATGAGGCCGTGATCAGTTGTAGCCTAGGCGAGAGGCTGGGAACAGACGGACAGTAGTGAAGTCAAGGAACGAGCGATGGTTAAGTTACGGACCTAAATCCGCGATTATTTCCCCCAATTATTTTTTGTTCGCTATTTTAACAAGTGCCGGATTTTTTAATATGCAGCAAGGTTAGTTATTTTATCTATTTCATCTGTGATGTGCCCTCTGTACCGTGTGTTCACACCGAAAAGGAAATACTGACACCCTCAAATTTGGGTTGGTCTCTTCGAGTCTCAGCAATCCTGGCTTTTTCTTTTTTTTTTTTAATCGTAATAGTCTTTCCTTTAAAAACATTTAAGCCGTCGGGCGTAATATCTGTAATAAGCTCTTCTTAGTAAATATTTCGATATTTACAATTTGATTTTTATCCTGACGGTTTTTATTTATTGCATGCTAAATTAAACGCACAACTCAGCAGGATGTTTCTTCGTTTTAGTTTCTGAAGAGTCAAGTGCTTTTGTGCCGATCCTGTTGCTGTTCTTCTCTTTATTCGAATCATCTTTTTTTAAAGGAACTTGGCAAATCGCAAATAAATCGACGACAGAAATCCACGTTGCTGAAACTCATTTTTCTCAAATCTTGCACTTCTTAGACCACGAACGTCCTTTTTTTCAACAGATTTATTATTTTTCTAATTAATTTACCTTTATTTTGAAATAGTCAAAAAGTTTGGTTCAATTCTTTATTAAAAATACCCACAAATTTTCAGATACACATTCTTAGCTGAAAGACATAAGTACTTGCAAAAACATTTTAAAAAGTGGTGTTTTTACATAGCTGTACGTTTTCCTCAGCAAAAAGTAAAATTGAGTTGGCAATAAAATTATGACTGTTTTTTTACACTACATATTTTTATTTCTTTGAGATGTATTGTCTTTGTAATTACTTTATGCCATTTTTCAGGTAGCTTGACTATTCCTTTCGCATAAAAATTCCCATCTTTTGAGTCCAGGAACGTTTGAACAGTTATTGGAACGCTTTCGAAGTTTTGGCCATAAATTTTTTTTTATAATGACCGAAGTAAATATTAGTCACAAATTGAAATGTCCCGAGAGTATGGCGGGTGCGATAACATTTCACAATTCATATTGTTTCATATTGGTCCTCAAAGCAACACGTGTTGAAAGTCTACACCTTTTATGTTTTGCTAATGAAGGCCATTTTTTTCTTTATTGAAGGTCTAAATGGGCTAGCTGTTCAAAGTGCGGTTTACTATTATCCGTTGGCCTTTTGGTAAAAGCTCAAAAAGCAACAGGCCTGTCTTATCAAATGCACAGATTTTTTGTGCATTGCACAGGTTTTTCCCCGTGCATTTGTTATTTTGGAACAATTGTTGTCTGAGTTGGCAATAAGCTTTTTTTCAGACTATGTTTTTGTATGTGATCCATTTTTCATCGCCTGTTACCAATCTATGAAGAAATGGGTCATGAGTGAGAATTGAGATGCAATACGCCAAATTCCCTTCGCTGAGTTTGTGTGGGATCTATCCTTTTGAACAAAGCTGTCTTTGTGGTTTCCAATGGTTGTATTGGAAACGACATCTCTCCTAGTTCTCAAGCCGTCAAAAAGGGATTTTCTTCTACCCTATGCCTCAATATGTCGTTGATCTCAGTAGGATGTCCATCTTCAAGAACAAAATTCCCTTCTCTAAATTGAGCAAACCACCATTGGACTTTACGAACATTTACAGCATTAGTACCAAATACCAAACACAAATTTTCATTTGCAACAGTTGCATTGTTCCATTTTTGGAATTCATGAATTAAACAATGACAATGTGTTTCATCCAAAGACATGATTACATACTAAATTATTCGATGCAACTAAAAAAGTTGAAAACAGAAACAAGTGAAATAAAGCTTTTTAATTTAGAGATTAAACAATCGTATTTAAAAAGATATATAAATATAGACAAAAAATGTAAATATTGATCTAATTAATCCTATAATTGAAAAACGACATTACTTTCTTGTCAAACCAATAGAATAAAAAAATATTTGTACAGATCTGAGATTTTTTAAAGCGGTATCGATTTTCCATGTTTTGCGTTGTCGTGTCACTTTTACTATAGGACACTGCACATTTGACAACACAAATTTTCCTCTAAATATGTCAAATTTTGAGTTCATGCCTCTTTACGTTTTGCATGTTTATCCATTTTAAAGTGTGAATCTAAAGTGGGTCAAAAAAGTTTTGGCACAGCCCACTTTTTTTTTCTTAAATCTCAAAAATATAAACTCCCGACCGCATCTCACGATATCTGAATAACTATAGATTAACGGTCACTAATCTCTACACATAAAGATTAATTGTTCATTACTAAACAATTAATTTTTAAATTTATTTAAAAGCTAGTGTCCAACCCTCAACCAAATTGAAACTCCTAAGTACCAATTAGTCCTATATTTAATAAAAAGATTTGATTTAAGAAAAATGCTCTAAGCTCAGGGAGTTTATACTTACTGTGCTAGGCTTTAATCAAGCCATGTTAGATAAAGCCTCTATTACTAAAGAAATAAAGAATAATTTAAAGAAAATAGCGTTGTTATATATTTAAACGTGTCTAAAGCTATGTATGAAAAAAAAAGATTTTTTAATATGTACTCACAATTAGTCACTGTATAAAATGATTTTTTTCCTTTCCTGGATAGTTATTTGCCAATGAGTGCCTCCATAATGATAATGTTTCATTAGTGAAATAGTATTATTTTCATACAACTGCCTAGTTTTAAAATTCTCTGGTGTCATTACTTTGATAAATAAACTGCATAGTTTCAACTTTTTTTCGTGTGGTAAAATATGTTGTATTCTGTCTCTTTCGTGAAAATATTTATGAATAATATAATGCTGTTTGAACTAGGTAATAATAAAGAATCACCAGGATGGAGAACAACTCCAAAGTTACATTTTTCATGTGGTATGAGATATAAGTGAAACAACTTTTGCATACACAATTTTGTTGACTTCATGTGAGTTTAAATAAAATCAAGTTAATGATCACATGAAAGCATTTAAAGTACAAATTTAGTTCTTTACTTCTACTAATGTAACACATTAAAATTTTGTTCAGAATTTTTTTTACATTTTTTGAGTAAAAAGTATTTATATAATTAAATAATTTCTATACACTTGGCTCTTTTTTGAAACAAATTGACCGTTGAGATCAATGTAATGAGAAATTGGAAATATTCCACAATTTTTACAATAGTGAAAAGATTGCTTGGACTAAAAGACCGAGACTTGAAAATCCGCATTGATCTCAATAGAGTAGAACGCAAAAGATGATGGGTTTTTAAAAATCAAAAACGACATTATAGAAGTATTTTTCTGGGAAACCCTAATTTAAACATCCGATGAATGAATGGATTTTGGAGTTAGTTATAAATTACTTTAGCTGTACAGCAAATTAAATTTAAACAATTTATAAAAAAGGATCTGAAAAATTGAATTGAAAATAATTTGTACAGAAAACAGATGAAACCCGAAGTGAGCATGGAGGTGAGCTGTGTAGAGGAGGGAGAAAAGACTGATAGCCCGGACGAATGGCAAAGCGGTGAGGGTGCCATGGGTCCATTGGAAGCCCCCGTCGAGGAAAATGTCCTGAATAACGAAGAGCAAAGGGATGAGACTTCTCCACGGCCTGAACCGCCCTCGCAAGACTTCCTCTCTCCGGTACCTGACTTTCAGAATACATCGTGTAAAACGCCTCATGTGAGTCAGTGGTTGTACCACCTGATTGATTTGTTTCCTAACTAATCCCATTTACTCATCATTTTAGCGCAAGAGGAAAAGCGATACACTTATAGATTTGAAAAATCAACTGCCTTGCAAAAAACTATTTTCTGATGATAGTCCTTCCAAGTAAGTAATGATTTATTCAACCTTATTTATTGGAAAAATCAGATTTTTTTAAACTTAAAAATACTAAATAATATTGAAATATAATTTTTGAACATATGAATATTAACAGTGAAAAAGTACAAATTGTTAAATTTTGTTTTCAAAGGCTCTCTTGTTATTATACATTTTTTATATTTTGCCACTAGACTCATTATGCTTGATTGTACTCAACTGTTGACCGATCTTGATATAAGGTTAAACATTTTATATATTAAAGTTTGTGATCTTAATCGGCCATCTTGTGATTGATTGAACTAATGCAGGACGAGTGATTGTTACTGGTTATTTCTCCATTTCTGCCTACTAATGCTTGTTATTTCTCACTTCTGAACATGTTGGTTCTGCTCCAATTGCAAAAATCCAAACACAACTAAATTAAATTTAGACCGGTCAACTGCAAGAGTATGGGTCCTGAGAATTGACCAGTAATTGTCACTCATTCAGTACATTTTTCCGTATTAAAAGGTTAAAATTGACCATTTATTTTAATCCTGATTTATATTTTATTTTTAAATCCTCTTGTGTGCATGTGACCTTCACTTTGGATCACTTTCCTTACATTGGGAAAAATAAGCATAACAATGTGAAAAGAATGATGACCTTTACAAATTTAAATGACAAATAATTTTTTAGTCTTTAAAATATTTGAAAGTTTTTGTATAATTGATTTTTAAAGCTCGATCTTAATGAATCTCAGTGGAAAAAATGTTCATAATGCTTAGTTGTAGTATGAAGAAAAAGCAGGTGAGCTCAGAGAACATGACTGACAAGTTGAAAGTGTCCCTTTCTGTGATACCTCCAAAAGAACACCCACCACCGGAGATTGCTGATTGGCTGCTTCAGTTTCAGGTATTTTCTTCTGAGCCCTATGGCTGTACAGTACATTTTACAACGCAGCTCATTGTTAATTTGTTTTTTTAGAAATGGTCAAATGCCGAAAGGATACTTGCAATCGATAGGTTGATAGAGACTTGTGAGCCGACGCAAGTCCGACACATGATGCAATTGATAGAACCCCAATTTCAAAGGGATTTTATCTCTTTGCTTCCTAAAGAGGTAATATTACTATTAAAGGGAAAGTTTTGAGCTCAAGTATATTAAGTTAGACTTTGCTCTCTTAAACTACAAGTAGAAAAAAAAGTTAAATAATCTGAATCAGAGGCAAATTGCTATGTCATGTTTGTCTATTCACATAGAATAATGGTTTATTTTTTCTTACTTCACAATACAGTGTTACGAAAATAGTAAAATATTTCAGCTTGCCCTCTTGGTACTATCATTCCTCGAGCCTAAAGATCTCTTGAGGGCAGCCCAAACCTGCAGGCATTGGAGGTTTTTAGCGGAAGACAATCTTCTTTGGAAGGGCAAGTGCCAGGCTGCTGGTATCAATAGAGAGTCTACATTGTATTCAAGTAAACGGGCCAGGCACAGGTCACCTTCTTCACCGGCATCTCCTTGGAAAGTAAGAATATGCTATATTCACTCTTAATTTTCGATCATTACTCCCATGAATATTCTACTGTGAGCAATTATTGTTTTGTTTAAAACGGATATTAAATTATTGTTATAATACGAAAACATTGGTCACATTTTCAGATCTCTGTTGACTTAATTATGACAATTTTTAGCAACAATCTTTTATTATGTCATAAATATATTATGTGATAAAAATTCAGAGGGGTTTACACTCATCGTTAAGAGATAAATTATTGATCTGTTCTTACAGCACACTTATAGCACTTATGTACTTACGTATATGTAATATGTTCTACTGCAGAGTAGTATAGCTCCATATAATGTTCATATTTTGTATCCATTGGTGCCATTTTTGTTATCTGTTCGGTTGCAAGGAACCTGTTAAAATTCTAACTTTATCTCTTCTTCCTGTAATAAATAATAATAGTAATAAAAATTATGTGATTTTTATTTTTGTCAAGCATGTATAGACATGGATGAAGGAGAAATAAAAGAGATATATGTTTATCTAAATTAAAATAATTTTAGTGCATAATAAATTGTATATGTGAAAAAATCTAAAATAAAAAGTTTAAATTTAAAATTGAACAGTAAGTAATACTGACAATTGTATTTCTCATAATTTGTCTCTCATTGTGGCCTAGCGATTGTGCCAATCTTCCGAACATACATTTTTGGCATCCGCTGGTCTCTTGGGAGTTTACGAGTCACATGGCCTCATTGCTGCTCATTTGGCAGCTCGGTCTTCTTTCTCATTACCTTCTATGCCAACCTGGCCTAGATTCAGGCAATAATATTTATATTTTTTCTTTGTTCATTTCACTTGTTTTGTCTTGTATTGCTGTGATGTCCCCAATTTACCCGACTTTGCTCAGTACAGATACGGTTGTCAGCAGCTGTAAATATACTAACAGCACGTGGGAGGGGAGGTTTTATGTATCCCTTCCAGTACACCATACTTCGGAATCCTTTGCAATCCCTCAAATCAAGTTTATATAAATGTTACTTTATTATATGTTTTGAGGGACAAGAATTTTGGCTTCACCAATTCATGCATAGTAGGGCTTCTGCTAACAAATACATAATTCCTGTTATATTCTGGAGGTCTGAACATCCAACTACCCATTGAGTATTGTGGACAAGGAGACAAACCACTTTATATACTTTTTTCAACCTATTATAAATTAAAATTCCATGGGCTGTGCTAGGATTCAAACCCAGAACTACTAACTTGGAAAATACGTGTCAGAATCCCTAACTTATGCTAGATCATTATGTATTTTGTAATATTTTGTAAAATGTACATTGAGATGAGCAGTTGGCGTCCAAATGGATCGAAGTCACGATAGCTCAAGTGGTTAGAACAGTGGCGTACTGTTCGAATCCCGCTCATGACACTAACTTTTTCATCTTAACCAATACCTTACATAAAAAGTATAATTAATTGAAATAAGTAATTTGGTCAATTAGACCACTAAACATAAATGGATTTTGTAAGATGTAAAAACTGCATCAGATAAGTTCTCTGGATAATTATGAGCAAAGTAATGAATTAAATTTATTGTTAAAAGTTCAAATGGTGTATGATCATTGCAAACCCATAGTGAAATGATCATTTTAAAATAATTTAAAAATTTCATGCTGATATCATAACCTTTTTTTCTTCTGTTTCCAGGCCGCTTTTATGCGACAACACAGGATAGAAATGAATTGGCGTGTGAGACCTATTCGACCACCAAAAGTATTAAAAGGGCATGATGATCATGTGATAACTTGCCTGCAGTTTTCGGGAAGCCGAATTGTCAGCGGAAGTGATGACAACACGTTGAAAGTCTGGTCGGCTACTACTGGCAAAGTAACATATTTTTATTCACCATGCGAAAATATTAAATATTTATAGGTTGGAAATATTAAAAAATGATTGTGTTTTAGTGTCTGAGGACGCTTTCCGGTCACACTGGTGGAGTGTGGTCATCGCAAATGTCAGGAAGTACGATTATCTCTGGAAGCACAGATAGGACGTTGAAAGTATGGAATGCTGAAACTGGTCAGTGTATTCATACGCTCTACGGTCATACGTCTACAGTTAGATGCATGCACCTCCATGAGAAAAAGTAAATGTTTTTAAATTATCTGACTTAAAATATCATTTGGCAAACTTGTATAATTATTTCTTGTGTTGCTTAGAGTTGTGAGTGGATCGAGGGATGCTACTCTCAGGGTCTGGCACATCGAAAGTGGGGAGTGCCTGCATGTTCTTGTAGGGCATCTCGCTGCAGTTCGTTGTGTCCAATATGACGGAAGGCTTGTTGTGAGCGGTGCCTATGATTATATGGTGAAAGTTTGGAATCCAGAACGAGAAGAGTGCCTGCATACACTTCAAGGTCACACAAACCGTGTTTATTCATTACAGGTATTACTTGAAAGCAATATTTGTCGTTAACAAATCCTCATGAATTTATGAATATTGAAATAACGAACCTTTAACCTTCATCACGAGGGGAGTCGGTTTAGGCATTGACACAGCGCTCGTCACTGTAAAGTAAAGGTCCCCGGGTCCGAATCCAGCTTTTACAAAACACTAACACCCCAAGGGTTCATAATTGTCATTGTTCATAGTCATAGTTGAAATATGCTACTTAAAAAAATTACTTTAATCAAGATTTTGATAAGAAATAAGATAGTTGTCATGTTACTAGCATTAATTTTCAGTTAAATAGTTCATTATTTCAAATAAATAATTTAAAACTATTGCAATAATTTTATAATGGCTGTAAATATTCTTGGACTATCACTCTTTTTAAAATTATTTTTATTTATTTATTTTATTTTTATTTTTTTAATTTTTAACGGAGATGTTTAATATGGATTTGTTTTAGTTTGATGGAATACACGTGGTGAGTGGATCGCTGGACACTAGTATAAGAGTGTGGGAAGTGGAAAGTGGTCAATGTAGGCATACACTGATGGGTCACCAGTCACTTACGTCAGGGATGGAACTGAACAACAACATACTCGTGAGTGGCAACGCCGATTCAACAGTGAAAGTGTGGGACATTCTATCTGGGCAGTGTCTCCAAACGTTATCCGGCATCAACAAACATCAATCGGCCGTTACTTGTCTTCAGTTCAACAATAGATTTGTCATCACTTCTTCGGATGATGGAACTGTCAAACTCTGGGATGTCAAAACTGGTAAAAAGATTAATTCTCAGGGTAAACATTCTAACACGATTGCTTGAAAATTAACTTTCATCCGAATTTTTGTTTGTTTTAGAATGAGACAAATTGTTATTTTTACATAAATAATTTTGTCTATCTAAATAGTTAAAGAAGCAAAAGCATGTTGAGTTTCTTTGGCCTAATTGATATGTTTTTATTAAGTCTTTTAAGTAATTGTTGCCTTATTCTTTACTGTGTTTTTAGGAGAATTCATCAGGAATCTGGTAGCTTTAGATAGTGGAGGGAGCGGAGGTGTGGTTTGGAGAATCAGAGCCAATGAGACAAAGCTGGTTTGTGCAGTTGGTTCAAGAAACGGCACCGAGGAGACTAAACTTCTTGTCCTCGATTTTGACGTTGAAGTCAAGTAAGAGACTGGAGGAGGAAATATCTAAGGAAATATTTAATCATCTTTGTCTAGGAATTAGTGCAGTTTCTAAATGCGTCCGGAATATTTTTCCCTTTGACTTTCTGGTTTTGAGTTAAAAGATGCTGCAACATCAATTAAACTTAAACCTTATATGAGTGTGGAAATGACAAATTTCTTTGCTGGACTTTATTTCAAAAACATTTTTGGCAATGCGCAATTAATTATTGAATTTCGCTTTAGTATGTTTTATAATTAATATATTTATTTTTTATAAATGATCTTTTCTTTCTTTAATTTGATTGGTCATTTTGTGAGAGTTGTGTGTGTCGTGGATGTGTGTGTGCCCGCGTGCACTCATATGTATATATAGATATATATAACAGTTCATAAATATGTATGTTATATATGGTTATATATATATAATAATAATAATACATGTTCACAAATTATTATTTTGTACCTGTGTCAGTGTAGGATACTTGTACTTTAAAAAAGTTAGATAAATGAAAAAAAAAATATTGGCAGTTGAAATAAACGATTAAAAACTAGGGATATTGTGTATCAGGGTAAGAAATTCTATGCTTATCTACCTCGGGTCGATAACGTTAACATTAAACTGCCAGTGTAGGAACAATGTAAGACTTGTAATATTTTCCTTGTTTGTAATAGGTTGTTTCTCCTGTTTATTGTTTGATGTAATGCAAATTCTGGTAGGTGTTTGTTTTCTGACAGAGAAGTCTGTGATAATATTTAATGTTTATTTTCCTTTTTTTCCCCTGTTATGGAAGAAATAATTAATAAAAGCACTAGTTACCTTTTTCATACATTTCCAAGTCTTAAATCGCTTCCCACGGGTACAATTTTTGAGCAAAGATGAGATTTCGTTTCCACAGCTCATTGAAATTTTTTTTGTGAATTATCAAGGAAGGTAAATGTCAGACCCAAAAATTGATATCACCTTGTGCCACAAGGCGAATGGAGTGCCCTTTCAAGATTTCTTTGGGCACACAACTTTTGATCATAAAAAAAGAAATGAATGCGTATGTTGAAAGAGTTGGGTTTTCCAATAAGCGGTCTCGGCATTAAAAATTTCTTCGTATCAACCAATTTTGCTTGAAAAAATGAACAAACGAACAAAAAGGCTAAGTTGTTTTGTAATCTTATAAATTTAAATTACATCACATTTTCTTCGAACAATAATATGTACTAGAAAGTTAGATTTTGTTATTTGGTCCATAAGTGATAATATATTATATAATGATGGATTGAGTTTGTTATACTGTATTACGTTTCTTTGATTTGACATTATTTTTGTTGAATTATATTTTTTGAATCTCATTTGACTCAATTCATTTATAAACATTTTAGTTTTATTGTGATTGAATTGGTTTCTCTAAAGCAAACCAGCAACATTAGTATTGGAAAGAGTTATTTTTTCATAACGATCTTTGTTTTACAAAATAATATTAGTGGTGGGAAAATACTCAAGCCATGTTCTGTTGTCCAAGTGTGTGTTCTGAATAAATTTGTTTATTGTTGTTGTATTTATTCAGACTGATGAATGAAGAACATTGCTCAATTATGTTTTGTATTGTGTGATGTGAAAACAAAATTAAGTGTAATAATAAATTCTACTTTAATCCCAGTTATCTTGTATTCTTTTTTAAAAACGCCCATAAATGCAAATTCTTCTCTTATGATAAATAAACAAATTATTTACACACAAACCTATGAATTAGTAAATATTGAAATACTACTACTACTAATGTTTTTATTCTTTAATATACAGTAACATCAGTTGCCACCATGCGATTCCTAGCCAAATTAACTTGGGGTCAAGAAAATAAGACCATTTTTTGCTGAAGTTAATCATTTTCAAATTAAATGGGTGGGCTATAGAAGTTGATACACCCTGTATATATCACGAAATTTGGTAATATGTATAAAAAACTAGAAAGACATTTGATGGCCTAAGACCATACGAGGGAGTCTAGGATGTAAACTTGTGAAACTAAAATTTCTTTTCTGAGATCAGTAATCCCTAAACATTCGCGGATGTTTGGTTCCAGAAAACTAGTGAATGTTAAATCCATGAATGTTGAGTCCATTCCATGACGCCAAAAATTGAGATACAATGAACTGAAAACTTGAGAACTACAAAAAAAAAAAAAAAAATTCATTCAATATAAACGAAATAGAAGACATGTTTGAACATGTTAATTGTTTTCATTGTTTGTATTTTTTGATATCAAGGAAAGAAATAACCATTAATAGTTCGCTGTTTTGATGAATAATTAATTTCTGCATGTATTTCCACATAAGGGTTTGAAGCAGCCTCTCGACCCTTTTATCCCTTTTAAAATTAAATCTTCGATTTAAAGGTGGGTCAAAATCCATGATTTTTTTTTAGTAAGCTGGTCCCAAGGTTAAAATTTCCCTGAGCTGTTTTGAAGAAAAGCTTTGGCCTGCATAAAAAATGGAAAAAAATTAACATTTCCAACAATTTTATTCTTTTACCAAGGGTCAGGATTTTTTTTTTTCTGTTTTGGAGGAGGAGGCATTTTGTGATACAACTTCAACTAGAGAATAAAGCAAACTGAGACGAAGGAATGTTGAAAGCAGGCAAAAGTTTTCTGAGATACAATTTAGGCAATAGGCCTCCGATGCATTTAAAAAAAATTATTTTCCATATGAAAATAAAATTGTTTACACAACTGTTTTTTTCCCCTCGATTAAAGAAATCAGACTTGCGCAAATATCAAAACTTTACTAATTTTTTCATATGTGAAGAGTGAAAATCGCTAATGTCAAAAACCACGAGTGTTAAGCGATTACTTTATATGCAAGGGGTGTGATTTACAAAAGAAATACGAATTTTCTTCAAAAATTATAAGACAAATTTGAATAATAAACTAATAAAATATTGAACAATAATAATATAAATATTACATGTTGATATGTTCAGAATTATATATTTATGATTACATAGCTGTATAAAAAATAAATTATAATAAAACAAGTTAAATAATGAAAGTGAATAATATTAAAGTTCACTATATTATACTAAATAAAACCGTATTAAAAACAGAGCGTCCACAGCCGTAGTAACTAAAAATAGCAAAATTGGAAGAAAAATGTTTGGAAAATCTTATTTTATTTATTTATTCAAGGTTAAAAAGTAAAATACTTTATGATTTGATCTGCCACCGTTATTTGGAATGATACCCTTCGCCACAACTTGAATGTCAAGCGCTGCACAATGGGCATCTCCATGGACTTTTTCTCGCCAAGAGATGGCCATGCGTCAGTCTAGTGTGGCCTATTCACGTCGGGTCAACATAATTCTCTCTGTTTTGCTCATACTATCCATGGCCTACGGTTTGACCGACTGTTCGAGTTCTTTTAATTTGTCGGTCATTTTGTCCCAGCGGTTCTGCCAATCTTTCCAACAGAGATTCTTCATATATTTTTTGACGTCCGCTGGGCTCACGGGAGGTTCCGGGTCATGTGGCTTATCGCTGCTTGTTTGGCAACTTGTTCGGCATTTTCATTACCTTCTATGCCTACATGGCCTGGTATCCAGGCAATAACTGCCTCTTTTCTTTGTCCGTGTATTTCCCTGATTTTCTCTGGATTAGTGGGTCCATGGTGAAGATATTAAGGATGGCTAAGACCACACTGAGTGTGTCTTGTTCTTTTATATATTTGACGATAAATTGGCCAAAATTAAAATATACAATATATGCTTTTTTAGCGTCCTGAAGAAGGTGTAATAAAGTTCTGAAAGCTAGGTGAAGATTTAAGATTAAAAATATCTTTCTTTGTTCACATCGCTGATTACAACCAAGAGAACATTGGAGGATGATGGAACGACAAAACTCAACTGCGCATGCGCCTGCCAGTTTACTGACGGTTTGGATGCGTGATTGAACAAACCAATTATATTCCTTGTACAAAAATGCAGTTTTATGCTGCTTAAAATGTTTAAATTGCTCTACATCCGTTGGAAAGTTTAACTATGCACTTTATTCGAATATAACAGCTTGCCCCTCTTGTGTACAGAGTTAATTAACGTTCATAACTATACAGGTACATACACCAATGTTATATAAAAACAATATTTGCCTATAAATAGTTTATTATTTATTTCAAAATGACTCAAATAAGATGTAACGATTGCAGGCAGTGAGCCGTTATTTACAGCGATACACTTCGGCAAAACTTGTACGTCAAGCGGGTTTAGCATTCTTTCAGCCGTGAAATGGCTTCATTTTATAATAGTAATACTCCTTAACGCCACTTTATATTTACACAACAGTCTATTTAATTCAACTTTGCTAATAATGTAAAAAAAATGGCATTGATGAAATTGTAAGAGTTTGGTTGGTTAGTATTAATTAGCCAGCGTTTGAGGGCGAATCGTTGTTATTAGATGCTTTCTAAATTGACAGATGTACAAAGTTGAAAAGGCCGAGGAGTCGAGCCGCTGGAGTTGGGACTTAAGTAAGTAGAATTTGTGAGTTTTAGATGAAAAAGTTGGGCAATTAGCTCTCCGTTGAAAGGAAAGAGGTGGAGGAGTCTTCTGTCGGGTATCACTCTTAGTTTGCACCTTGGTTCCTTGCGGCCTCGACGGAGAAGGATTTCTAAAAGTCATTTATTTGCCAAGTCTAAAAAAACGTTTATTCCTTCCTTGATAACAGTTCTAGTTTTCTTGTTAGCTTAAATTTCCAAAACAAAATAAGATATAAAATATTGTCGATTATTCCAAAGTGAGTGGTGATTAGTGACCGTTGGTTAATGATTATTCGGAAATTGTGAGATGCGGTCTGGTGTGACGTAGGTTTCAGAAAAACATTTTCTTTATTGTGCCTACGTTTCGATCTTTATTGAAATCATCTTCAGAGCCTTGGATTTACAAACATTGTTTAAATTTAACAAATACATGTAGGATGTGGAAAAAAGTGAATTTATACAATGCAAAAAAAAATTATATTCAATCAAAGTATTTCTACTCATTCAAAGTTTTTCTGCGTACGCAAAATATCATGGAAAGAAACCCTTCACACTTTCATAGTTTTTCATTTTCAAGGTATGAAATAAAAAGCCAAGTTCGTCTAATAAAATGTAGAATAACTAAAAATAAAAAGATTGGTAGAAAAATATTTGGAAAATCTTTTTTTATTTATTCACGGTTAAAAAGTAAAATACTTTGTGATTTGACGTACTGCCGCCGTTATTTACAATAATAACCATCGCCACAACTTGAATGCAAGTTGGTTTTATCATCTTCTATTTACACATTAGTCAATTTAACTTGGAGCGTGTTGGAACGGCAAAACTCAACTGCGCATGCGCCCGCCAATTTGCTGACGGTTTGGACGCGTGATGGATCAGTCCAATTGCCATGTTCAAAAATGCAGTTTTATGCTGCTTAAACAGTTTAAGAATATTGCTCTACATTCATGGGATAATTATTTGGATTTCGTGAGATGCAGTCTGGTGTGACGGAAAAACATTTTCTTTATCGTGTCAACGTTTCGATTTTATTGGGATCATCTTCAGGGCCTTTTGTCGTCTGCATTTCAACAAAAAATTTCTCTTATTGATAGCCTATGCAAGTTTCTTCTCATTGTTGGCGATGTCCTCAGAATCCTCTTTGCTTGGTGTCCGTGCACGATAAAGAAAATGTTTTTCGAAAACCTACGTCACACCAGACCGCATCTCACGATCTCCAAATAATCATTAACTAACGGTCACTAGATACCACACATTCATGGGATAGTTTAACTATGCACTTTATTCGAAGAGAACTTGCACGCCTTGTATACTGTGTTACTTTTGACATAAATATATAGGTACATATATCAATATTATTGAACGACAATATTTCTCTATAACTATCATAGACTAACGGTCATTAATCACCACACACTTTTGAATAACCGTCAATATTTTATATCTTGCATATTGTGTTTTGGAAATTTAAGCTAACAAGAAAGCTAGAACTGTTATCAAGGAAGGAATAAACATTTTTTTAGACTTGGCAAATAAATGACTTTTAGAAATCCTTCTCCGTCTAGGCCGCAAAGGAACCGAGGTGCAAACTAAGAGTGATACACGACAGAAGACTTTATGACACTTTATTCAAAGATAACGGCTTGTACGCCTTGTATACTGTGTTATTTTTGACATAAATATATAGGTACATATTTATCAATATTATTGAATGACAATATTTCTCTATAAATAGTCTCTTTCTTCCAAAATGATTAAAATAAAATGTGACGTTTGCAGGTTGTGAGACGTTATTTACAGCGATACACTTCGGCAAAACTTGTACGCCAAGCGGGTTTAGCATTCTGTCAGCCGTGAAATGGCTTCAATCTATCAATACGAACGAAAAAAATCACATATGCATGTAATACCGTGAATGTCAAACAAATCAAGGTTGCACTTCTGTCAGGTATTCATGTAAGATCCAATACGAGTTGTAAAATTCTTTAGGTGTTAGAACTTAAACAAGAACTCAGACGATAAGGCCGAAATGGCGAAACGTCAAGCCTCAACAAAACCTCGGATGAAGTGGAAGTTCCTTAAGAGACTTTAAAGGTTGCCAATCTCTCTCCAAATTTAATTTTCCTTGTT